TTATTTTGTATACCATGCCCAATCATAATTCAATAGTAATTGAGGTTTTGAAAAGGATTTTTAGTTATTTTTTACATATGATTTTGTTTCTTATTTATTCCATCAGCATCTAAACCCCAAGGCCAAGGTTTGAATTGTAACAAATTTTAAAAATAAAAGGTGATCTTTAATTAACAATAAGTATTTAATTAAAATGAATTTATTAGACATTTTAATTAGGCCTAAATAAATAAGTAGTGTGTTTTCAGCATGTTTAGTTCCCCGCCTAACTCTAAGAAGTATAGGAGCCGACCCTCAATATTTTTTCTGCTAATATCTTTCCATGAGTAAACTACTGTATGTATACTTTAAAATGCAGGCTTCATATTTTAGCGGCTTTGGTGCAGACAACAATGCACTAATTCATGAATACTGCTAAGAAATCATTTACATATTGATATATACAATACACCGCACATACATGTGTAGCGCTAATTTATGATTATGCCAACCCAGTGATTATGCTAAATTTTGAAAGCACCAAATTATATACACATATTACAGTATTTGGAATTCCAGTTTACAATTAGAAATGAAATCCCAATCTTGATCACTTCCATGTTTGAGAAATGCATATCTTACACATATTAATCAGAAATATTTTGACAGTGAAATCCTGGGGGAAAGTGGCAGCGTGCCTGCCAATAAAATGTTAAAATAACCCATATCAAAAAATAATACAGAAAAGTATATTTTTAATATATTTTTAATACATTCATTTTTGTACTTTCTTAAAATAATACAGAAAAAATATATTATTTTCCTATCACAAAAAATTCAGTATATCATTTTTGTATTAAAATTTGACTTTGATTTTGTACAGTGTATTATTTTTGTATTTTTTTGGACTTAGATTATTTTCAGTGTATTATTTTTGTATTTTTTTGGACTTAGATTATTTTCAGTGTATTATTTTTGTATTTTTTCAGGACTTAGTTTTTCCAGATGTATTTTTTCTGTATCAAATTTGAACTTAGTAATTTTACAGAAAAGTCTATACAGTTAGACTGTATCATTTCTGTATTAAATTTGGACTTAATAATTTTACAGACAGTTTGTCTGTATTATTTTTATATCAAATTTAGACTTAGTAATTTTACAGAGTTTGTCTGTATTATTTTTATATTAAATTTGGACTTTGTAAATTTATAGAAAAGACCTTACAGTTACACTGTATTATTTTTATATTAAATTTGGACTTGGTAATTTTACAGAAAGACGGTCAGTATTTTTTGTCTCAAATTTGATTTTAGTACATTTACAGAAAATTACATATATTTGGTCTCTATTTCTTTTTGTTGTTGGGGGGGGGAATTTAGACATATTTTCTATTTACATTTGTCTTTATGAACTTTATAAATTTTAGAGAAATTCCTTGCAAAATGTTTGCTGCTTTTTTTATAAGTTTATAGCATACCCGGTACTTAGAAAATTTTTATTATATATTTTTTTCAGGAATCTTGGTATCCGATTATCTAGAACTTAAATAATTAATTGGTACTAAAATTTATGTTAATCTCAATCAGTGGTAATCCAGAGAAATATTTCCATCTTGGGCATGAAGATTTTACAGCAGGTTTACATTGACTTTTCAGCGGGTTTACATCTTTCACGTGTTTACATCTATCACACAACAGGTGGTCTTGCAGGCTAACAAATGATTGCATCATACTACAATTCAGAAATTACGTGATTTACCTTTGCACATGGAAAGTCCCAACTAGCTATTACCATGCATACGATGTTTTCTTCAGATTTTAGTATATATGTGCATTTTTTTCACTCAGAGAAGGAATCATATTCAAATTATCCTAAATAAATTTCAAGAAATGAGCTTACAATGTTCAAGTCTAGAAAGGGATGTGCAAGTAGTAGGTTTCCTAATTAAATCATCAGTGTGTTTAAGATAGATATTTACACTAGAGAAAGTTAGCTGAAACATGTGCAAAAATTATTAAAGTTTGGAAGTATTAATTTTTTTAACCTGCTTGGACTGTGTTATTTGTGTAGTAGTACAGACAATTTAATTAAACATAAAAAGAAAATAATTTTTTCCAGGGAAGGAGGGGGGGGGGCATTTTTGGAAAATACATGTAGAGACTATTCTCTTTACTTGGAAAATATTCTACCAACATTATCAAGTGAAAATTGATCTTCCCCCCCCCCCCCCCCCCCCCCAAAAAAAAATTAATGCCATGTATAAATTTGTTTTGAAAAAAAAATGGCTTAAATAAGAAAAATTGACCCTCTGAGCTTGTAAAATTTATCAGTTCATTCAAAGAAACTAACTTAGTTTGTTGTTTTTTAGCCTTTTGTCACATCACATTCAGTTTTTGGTACAAAGTATGTTGTTTTTATTCAGATAAAATATCAGTTTTTCTTCAACTCTGTGTTTAATTCTACTCTCAGTTTAAAAAAAAAAACGATCCTGATTTTAATTAGTTAATAATTTACAAGTTAATTATCTTTGATCTTGGGCTAATTCTTGCATAATCAATGCAATCAAATGACAGTTTCTCAAGTTAAATCTTCTACCCTGACAGCCTGAGGCATGTTAATTAGCCAGGTGGCTGTGTTTGCGTTCAAGCGTGAAGTGATTTCCTGTCGTGAATTCACACTTGGTTGCGTTATGTAAACAAGAGATTATCAGTATGCACTGAATAAACAGAACAGCTAAGGAATATTGCCTACACTGGGAATATTTATTAATTTTTTGTTAGGAAAAAAGGACATGGCGCCGAGAAAAGGGGGCATGGCTCTGTGCCTTGCTATTTTGCTTTAGATTTAACACTAAATTGATCCCTCTTCTTGAACTTTATGGTCTATTTTACAGGTCAACTTGTATAATAAAAAAAACAAAAACAAAACAATATGGCTGACCAGAAATCTTTCTCATCTGTAATCGGAAAATTTCTTAAAAACAAAAATAACGATTATAAGAAATGATTCCTAATAATTATTCTAGTAATGATCAAGGGTTTATTAAACTGATTCCATATTACTTATTAGACTTCGTACATAAATACATTTCCTTAGACTGTTAAAAATATTTTATATTTAAATATCGGCAATCTTCGTAAATAAGGAGCTATTTGATTGGTCAGATTTTAAAATTTTTCTTTGCTTTTCTCTGATTGGTTAACGGTAATTTACCCACGCCATTTTGAAAAATAGATCGTCGAACCGAATTGAGAGAGTTGGTGATGTTTGATAAAATTTAGCAAATATTCGCCCTTGAAATTGGTAGAAAATAGATGTTTAACTACAGCATGTAAGCATGGATCACATTTATAAACAAAGAAAAGCGAAAACGGAAGGAGGTTGGCGTTTTTCAAGCATCATGCCCTGGCTTTCCTGGTGTAAACAACGCCATATGCGGTAAGAATTTACATAAAATAGCACAGTTGTTTCAATTTTTAAAATGTGAAATGTAGATTAATAAATGTTTCCTTTTATAACCAATTCATAGTAGGTCAAATTAAATGCAGATATATTGGATTTGTGGCGAAAGACAGTTTTGTTATGCTACTTTCTATCTTGAATTGTATGGATAATTACGGGCTTTCAATGGCAAATGATATTATTTACATGGACCAAAATGACTTAAAAATTAATTTCACCCTATCCCTCAGGCCTAAACATGGAATAATAACAGATAAAATCATCTTGGCATACAACCATTTAAAATTTGAAATGTGAAAGGGGGGGGGGGTAATCATTGCAACTAAGCTTCATGGATTTATGGTTTAGCATACTTATAATTTATTTCAAAAATGACTTGAGAAGAAGGTGGTAAGAAGGATTTTTTTGGGGCACAAACTAATTATTTTTTATATCAATATATGATGATCTGTATTTCCCTTACCCAATATCATTTTAAATTTTCAAATCAAATGCCCCCCCCCCTTCCCCCAATAAAGGGGGGGGGGGGGGGGGGGGGGGGGGGGGGGGGGGGGGGGGGGGGGGGGGGGGATAACGGCTCAATTTGTAGAATATTTTGCCATGAAAAATTCCAATGAGGTGTATTGACAGTTTTATATTTTCATTTTTTAATGCTCTGTATTTCTACCTGTTCTGCAAAACATTTATCAGTATCGTTACTTTTACAGTTTGAGTGCCTCTGCAGAGCCATAGAAGAAAAGCTGATTAGTTATAGAGGAATAGGACACCCACCCACCCTACCCCTTGAAGCATTACAGGTGTGTAACATTGACAATATCAGCTAATCATGTGAAGATTTCTTTTTGTGTGTGTCTGTGCATCTAATTTTGATATACCCTGGTACATTTTGATATTCTATTTTGTAGATTATGCAGGACCAAGCAGGATGACAGTGAGAAAACTGGAGATGTACTTCTTCAACAAAGTAAAGTGCTGTGCAAAAGAAACCCCAAAGCAGAGAGAAGATCTAGACTTTTGAATTCATATCTCATTATAAATGTACAATTTACAAAGACAATAAGATTGCATAAAACATGACTTAGAAATGAGGACAATGGAAGAGTGAATACTGTATGTAAGACAGAAAAGATCAAGATTATTGCACAAAAAGTAACTAAATCAGTAATCTAAAACCATTTCTCTTTAAAATCTGATTGAAAGCTGCATTTAAGAACAAGTTTTTCACGTTTTTAGTACTTTTCTAGGCACTGCTTTGTATTATTTAAAGCTTTTTTATGTACTTTTTGTCTATCATTCTTGTACCTTTTTTGAACTCCTAAATGTATTTTTTTTGTATTTTTCAGAATGTATTATTTTTAGATTTTTTTGTTTTAAATGCGATTTTAATACAGAAATAATAGACTGATACAAACTTAATACATTTTGTATTACTTTCCTATTTTTTTTTCAAGGTGCTCCAAATAATACAGAAATAATAGACTGATACAAAATTAATACATTTTGTATTATTTTCCTTTTTTTTTTTCAAGGTGCTCCAAATAATACAGAAATAATAGACTGATACAAAATTAATACATTTTGTATTATTTTCCTATTTTTTTTTTCAAGGTGCTCCAAATAATACAGAAATAATAGACTGATACAAAATTAATACATTTTGTATTATTTTCCTATTTTTTTTTCAAGGTGCTCCAAATAATACAGAAATAATAGACTGATACAAAATTAATACATTTTGTATTATTTTACTATTTTTTTTTTAAGGTGCTCCAAATAATACAGAAATAATAGACTGATACAAAATTAATACATTTTGTATTATTTTCCTATTTTTTTTTTCAAGGTGCTCCAAATAATACAGAAATAATAGACTGATACAAAATTAATACATTTTGTATTATTTTCCTATTTTTTTTTCAAGGTGCTCCAAATAATACAGAAATAATAGACTGATACAAAATTAATACATTTTATATTATTTTTATATTTTTTAGTTCTTCTTTAAATTGTATTATTTTTGTACTTCAGATATGGATTTAATACAGAAAAAATACAAGAGTACAGAAAAAATACATCAAGTGTATTATTTTTGTATTTTTACTGATAAATAAAGTATATTAAAAATATATTTTTTTGTGTTTCATTTCTAAGAAAGTGTATTATTTTTGACCTAATTTGGAACCAAGATAAAAAGGGTTCCAAATTTGGTCATTAAAAATATACTTTTTTTGTATTATTTTTGTATTATTTTAATCTATTATTTTTATATTTATTTTCGATATGGGAAAATAAAAATGTTTTTCCTACCTACCTACCCTATCTTTTCTAAGGTTAAAATAGGAAACACTATCTATTTATCTTGGCCTTAGCAAAATAAAAAAAAAATACTTATGATACATCGATAATGATGGTCTAAAATCATGAAAATATTTTCAGTAGGGCAATCAGGATGAATGTAGAACACGGTGCAGGTGAAAGATAATGAAGGCAAATGGACACTATGCAAACCAACGCATGCGAAGAAATATATACAAGTAGGAAGAATGACTTGATAAAAAAAAACGATAACTAAATCAAGCTTTTTTTGGAAGAATTAAACATGTTAAACATGTTAAATAATCTAACCAAGCTAAGAAATTTTAGCTACGTAAATCTATAAATGTACTGATTTCAATGGACCTTTTGAAAAGGTGGAGTTCTCTGTGATACATTTCTGACACTGAGTCAGTGTGTGACTGACATCGTTTATAAATACACGTACAGTTTAAGTCAGATTAACTTTTACAATTAATTCGCACACACAGGCCTCACTAAACAACTAAAGACCAGACAGTCGCACCGTCTAGCATAATTTGTATGGGCATGAGGAGGATAGTCGCGTTTCACAAAAAATGGGGACAAGCCTTAAACGCTTACCATATCGGATATCCCGGGGGTGCTGAATTCATATAAGTCCGTAGTTTGTTCTTACAAGATAGCCATTAGGCCTATAAACAAGATACAATTAAAAAAAAAAAATAACCGAGGTCTAGGTCGGGTCAAACTTTCCCAAAGTTTTACGTGCATTCATTATTAAATGTTACTTTACGAACGTCTGTAAGAAATAACTGCATGCATGATTTACGTAGTTAAATTAAGTTTTCAGCCTATAATATCTTTAAAATATGATAAAAAATCTACTTACCACATATTCTCGGAGCAGCCATTGCCCGCAATAAATTGGTATCATATGGGGACCAGTTTAAATTCCGCTGCGTTCCGAATGAACATTTCCCAGCATCCTCAACCATTCGTTTTACGGTGCAGTGAGAAAATTACTGCGAGTCAATTTTACGGACTTATGGGGATTTTTTCAAAAATGACCACAAATCGAATAAATATTATCAGTAGAACACGTAGAATTCAAAAAACCCCATGACCATATTTGTGGGGAACGAGAGAGTTCCCCACAATTCTGAACTTTCCCCATAAGAAAGGTCCTTTGTCAGGTGTGAGTTCCCCACAAGTCGGTGAGCGCGAGTGCTCTCTCTCTCTCTCTCTCTCTCTCTCTCTCTCTCTCTCTCTCTCTCTCTCTCTCGCTCTCTCTCTCTCTCTCTCTCTCTCAATTCATTCTAAATATGTACCAAATAATAATCTACGCATCATACATTTTTTTCAATGTCTATATGTACTTGTAATTATACCTTGACCTATGGAGAGAACGATCATAGGCATTTATGCCTGCTCTTCAATCCATTTCTTATTGAATAAAATATATCTTAAACTAAAGAGCTTTAAATACTTAGGTAATATTTCGATGGTTGATTATAGTGAATAATGTACATAAGTATCCCTACCTGTGCTTCATACATGGTAATTTAATACATGAATTTGTCAATTCAATATATTTTTCAATGACGAATGTAGAGGTCATTATTGTTGAAAAATCAAGAAACTTCCTGTTTAAAAAAGCTTGCAGTGAGCGGAAAAATGTCCTGGTTGTGTCAGCAATTGCTACAATTTACTTACTAATTGAAAAGAAGTACTAACAGCTAAGAAGTGAAAAAGAAGAATCCACGCAGACACGTTTTGCTGATTT